ATTGTTATGATTATGATTATTATTATTGTTAAGGTTATTACTGTTTTATTTTTAATTTGTTATTGTAATGTTTATTATCATTGTTATGATTATGATTATTATTATTGTTAAGGTTATTACTATTTTATTTTTAATTTGTTATTTTTTTATTTTAGTTTTTCTATTATTACAACAGTTTTAAATTAAAAGCACTAACTACATAAAAGGAAGCAACAGTGTCTCAGTCGGTAGAGCTTTGTCCTGTCTGTTGTCGTTGTGTCCTTGGGCAAGACACTTTGCCTGAAGCCCCTGCTGAAAGATCGAGACTAATCTCTCACCGTCGCCGACAGAGAATCCAGCAGTTATTACCTCATATTTAGATAATTTTTTGCAGCAAAAGACGTGATCAGAATGTTCCATGAATCAGGAAACTGCAACACAACTGCACAATCTCACAAAAATAGCTATGATTGTTTTCAGCAAATATGACTCGATTTAGAAACTCAATAAAAAGGGTTGTTTTTGGCTGTGGTCGCAGCGGCACATGAGGCGCTGCAGTCGGACTCACTGTGGTCCCTGTTGGGGGCATTGTTGGTGCAGCTTATCGGGGAACGCAGAGGCAGCTCCAGCGACGAGTCCTGGTGGGGTGTCTGCTGGTCCAAACACAGACACACACACACAAACACACACACATGCACACCAACACACACACACAGACATACAACACACACACTCCCTGAGCCCGCGCTCAAAGGGACTCGAAATACTGCAGTATAATAAGATCAAGCGCAAGATATCTTTGTCCCATCTGAAATGTGTTTGATCTTAGTACATACAGAAAACCAGGTCAAACTTTAGCTTAGCCTTCGCTAACAAGCCGCTAATTAAGTACTAATGAGTGTACCATAACCCTAGCATTAGCCTTAACCTTAGCATTTACACTAGCCTTTACCCTAGAATTAACCTTAGCATTTACACTAGCCTTTACCCTAGAATTAACCTTAGCATTTACACTAGCCTTTACCCTAGAATTAACCTTAGCATTTACTCTAGCCTTTACCCTAGAATTAACCTTAGCATTTACACTAGCCTTTACCCTAGAATTAACCTCAGCATTTACACTAGCCTTTACCCTAGAATTAACCTTAGCATTTACACTAGCCTTTACCCTAGAATTAACCTTAGCATTTACTCTAGCCTTTACCCTAGAATTAACCTTAGCATTTACACTAGCCTTTACCCTAGAATTAACCTTAGCATTTACACTAGCCTTTACCCTAGAATTAACCTTAGCATTTACACAAGCCTTTACCCTAGAATTAACCTTAGCATTTACTCTAGCCTTTACCCTAGAATTAACCTTAGCATTTACTCTAGCCTTTACCCTAGAATTAACCTCAGCATTTACACTAGCCTTTACCCTAGAATTAACCTTAGCATTTACACTAGCCTTTACCCTAGAATTAACCTTAGCATTTACACTAGCCTTTACCCTAGAATTAACCTTAGCATTTACTCTAGCCTTTACCCTAGAATTAACCTTAGCATTTACACTAGCCTTTACCCTAGAATTAACCTTAGCATTTACACTAGCCTTTACCCTAGAATTAACATTAGCATTTACACTAGCCTTTACCCTAGAATTAACCTTAGCATTTACACTAGCCTTTACCCTAGAATTAACCTTAGCATTTACACTAGCCTTTACCCTAGAATTAACCTTAGCATTTACTCTAGCCTTTACCCTAGAATTAACCTCAGCATTTACACTAGCCTTTACCCTAGAATTAACCTTAGCATTTACACTAGCCTTTACCCTAGAATTAACCTTAGCATTTACACTAGCCTTTACCCTAGAATTAACCTTAGCATTTACTCTAGCCTTTACCCTAGAATTAACCTTAGCATTTACACTAGCCTTTACCCTAGAATTAACCTTAGCATTTACACTAGCCTTTACCCTAGAATTAACATTAGCATTTACACTAGCCTTTACCCTAGAATTAACCTTAGCATTTACACTAGCCTTTACCCTAGAATTAACCTTAGCATTTACACTAGCCTTTACCCTAGAATTAACCTTAGCATTTACGCTAGCCTTTACCCTAGAATTAACCTTAGCATTAACCCTAGTTTTTTGTCTTAATTTGAGGAAAGTCAGAATGAAGACATATCAAGACACAATTTTTGACTTATCACTTTGTGTTGTGGTCTGGTTTGTTCACATTTTTACATTTACAAGACTTTCCAGACAAACACAGTAGATTGCACCCAAATAAAAGTTAGATTCCCCAGCTTTAAGAAATTAGAAATGCACTTTTATTTGAGTGGAGATTTACTGGGATTATATAAATTCATTTCTTATCTCTTGGGGATGACACCAGATTTTCTCCCAGACAAATCTCAAGAATAAAAGTAAAGGCTTGGATCTACAGCTTGTGAGTCTGCACTGCAAAAAATGATCAAATATGAGATAATAATTTCTTGAATTGAGTTGTTTTTATCTTAATTTAAGTTCTTTCAGAGTGTCTTAAAACGAGATTTGCCAATGAGACAAGCAATTTTGACTAGACTCAAGAACTATTGCTTTATTTTCGTCGTTCAAAGTGAGAAATGTCTTGTATCTTTTTCAAACAATATATTTTTTCTTGTTCCACTGGCAAATCTTGTTTTAAGGCTCAGTCAAAATGTGCTCAAATTTAGAAACATTCAGCAAAATTTGAGTATTTTTTCGTCTTTAATTCCATCATTTTTTGCAGTGTGCGGGAGGTTTCTCACTTTTTAAAATCATTTTTGAGCGGTTCTTTGACTATTACCACATTTTTTTTTTTCCGTCTGATGTCTAAAGAACTGCCTAACAATACCATTTTAAAAGTAAATCAATTGTACTGTATACATGTTAGTTTGTATGACCGTTGTTATTTCTTAGGACATTATAGCACATTTCTGGATTCTCTGAACTCTGTAAAGTCCTCCTGCTGTTTGTGTGTTAGGGCTGTACAAAAATCCATTGAACTGACTTGTTATTAGCTATAACGGTTGTCATAAAAGGTCGGTGCAATTGTGGAATAGACTATATTCTGCTCATTGAGAGATTGAATTGGGTGAAAACTGCAGTCCAAATTCCAAGTCCGTTCTTTCAGATATTTGGCCTTGTAATTCTTCGTTTGACTCAGATGACGCTGGAGAAATGGCGGCTGCGGTGTAGAATACCGTGTCGAAATTCCAAAAAAAACAGGGTCGGAAATCTATCTCCGCATTCACAGCATTACAGCCTCCTGCAAAAAAAAAGGGGGAAAGAAAAATGAACGGACTGAAAATAACCGGCTACGACAGTGAAATCCAAACAAAATTTAAGAAAAAAAAGGTTCTGTCAAAATTTGCGGTTTCAAATTGCGCAAAATAGGCCGCGATTTTGAACCAAGTACCATTGTGCAATTGGTTAAAAACAGATTGTAATATTAATAAGACACATTTGCGCTAATATGAGACACTTTTGGCATAAATTGGAGCAAAACTCAAAATGTCCTTTCACGATACAACAATTCATTTCAATACTTTTTTACCTTTTTAACACAAAAGTATTGACTCCATCATGTTTTTTAGTTGTTTATCTATAGTTACATTTCATTGCGTCCCTTGAAAAAGCCCATGTCAAGTTGAATTTAATTTGGACAACTCTAAAAAATATGATTCATTATGCGGCGAAAATACACAGATTTTCATTTTATTTATCAATCATAGAAATAAAATAAATTAGATTCAACTTTATCGTCACAACTGTGCGACAAAATTCAGTTTAGCATCAGACCTGTCGTGAAAAAGCGCAAGTTTAAGATAATTTTACCAACACGGATAAACATATATGTAAACAGTACAGTATATGTGCGACTGTTTCAAGCTATTGCTAGTTTTTACGTCAACACAAAAAACATACAATTTTAGGCAATAGTTTTAACCAAAAACCATTGAAATTATTATAGTTATTTTCAATGTAGCATGTTTTCCCTTTTGCCCCAACTTTTTGACATTTGCTCAGAACTTTTGAGGCGACTCAGATTTCTCTGACATTACACTACAAAAAATGATATAATTTGTGGTAATAATTGCTTGAATCGAGTTGATTTGAGTGAATTCTGACAGTTTTGTTTGAATAATTGTTGCCTAATTTTCTCATTCAAAGGGAGAGATTTCTTGTATCTTTTAAAACAAGAGCATTTTGCTTTGTCCCATTGGCGATTTTTTTTTTGCGTCAGTCAGATAGTGCTCAAATTAAGTCACATTTTTGCCAAATTTGAGTATTTTTTTACCTGTTTGTCGACAACTCTGTGAAGTCCTCCTGTTGTTTGTGAGTTAGAGTTGTACAAAAATACATTGAGCTGACTTGTTATTAGCTATTATAGTTATCATAAAATGTCGGTGCTAAGGTGGAATAGACAATATTTTGCTCATTGAGAGATTGAATTGGGTTGAAAACTTCAGTCCAAATTCTATGTCCGTTCTTTCAAATATTCGGCCTTGTAATTCTTCGTTTTACTCAAATGACGCTGGAGAAATGGCGGATGCGGTCTATTACATTATAGTGTAATGGAATAAAAATGTGAGTCGCCTCGAAAGTTCTGAGCAAATGTCAAAAAGTTTGGGCAAAAGGGAAAACATGCTGCATTAAATAGTTTTAATCACATTATTTGTGATTAAAACTATCGCCTAAAATTGTATGTTTTTTGTGTTGACGTAAAAACTAGCAATAGCTTGACTTGTTTCAGATGCCTCAATACATCTTCATTTAGTCTCTTTTTTAACATTCTTCTTTACCAAACTTGACTTATTTTCCGTCACTTTTTGCAGTGTATAAGCTGAACCACTTCTTTAAATCTCTTGTGACGCGGCCTCTGATGAATTCCTTTCGAGGAGCCGAAGGTGTCTTACTGATGAACAGAAAGACCCGTTTGAAATTGAAAAAAAAAAAAGAAGAGGAGGCTTAACTCAGCGTAGTGGCAGCACCTGCGGTTCGGCACAAAATGGCCGCCTACGGAGCACGACACGAGCCATGGAACAAGGTTGGACAGGAGACACGGGGGGCACGGCTCACACAGAGAGGCCGAGTCCACGGAGACAAAAGGCAGAACGGAGAGGAGAGGTTTACTAAGATTTGCAAAGTGTATAGATGCTCCAAAAAGTGATGAAAAATATGTCAGAAACGGCAAAAATTTGGCAAAATGTGTCTTAATTTGAGCACATTCAGACTGAGCCTCAAAACAAGATTTTTCAATGAGACAAAGCAAAATGATCTTGTTTTAAAAAGATACAAAAAATGTCTCACTTGGAAAGAGAAAGTGCCAAAATATATCATGTATTAGTGTGTTTTGAAGATTATAACAAAAATAATGATTACGAACCCTTCTATTGGTTCAAATTTGGCAAAAAGACAGGGTGGAAGTGGAATCTCAGGTCCCCGTGGGTCAATAACAGATTTTAATTTCAGTTCAATTCAATTTTTTTTGTGCCGCCGAATATAAATCACAACAGCAGCAGGAGGGCTTCACCCAATTGTCGATTCGCCAACGACAGATCAGAGAATCAGACCGAAAATGCAATAACAAACACATTAGAGCCATTGGTCTGTCCTGGAGAAACTGCTTTGTGTTTACACTGCAAAAAGTGATGAATAAGCAAGAATATGGCTCAGATTAAGACAAAAAAACACTGGATTCAAGCCATTATTACCTCATGTTCTGTCTTTATTTCACACTATGCGTAGTTTGCGGTGAATCTTCCCCAAGGTCAGCCTACAAGTCATATCTGCGGAGTGGAGAGCCAACTCGGTAATCACTTTTTGAGCAGTGAAGCTTTTGTTGGGTACTGAAATCTTCCATCTTCTTGTACATATTTTTTGCCGTTAAATCCAGTCTCAAATACATAAATTTGCCTGTGAAAGAACAGATGAGTGAGCTGAGAGATGGGTGCAGGAATGGCAGGAGGGAGGGGGGTAAACAAAATGGCGGCTGTCGGGGGTAACCGTGGCGATGAGGCAGCCACACTGAAGCTTTATGTGGGTTAAAGTATGTAGATATGTGAAAAACGGAAATGTATGTACTTATATATGTTATGTATAAAGTGTAGTTGCTGTAAATTCCATAATTGATTTCTGTCTGTGAAATAAATAAAATTCATCAAATGGAAATATATTTGTCAAATCTGCCACTCTGTCCCACACACGGGTCGCGAGCCCAGGCAGCGCTGTGTCAGGTGACGTTTGACCCAAGTCTAAATCAACTGTACAATCATTTTAGCTGTAAATTATCTGGAATTGATATAAAATGAATGTGGATGATTGTAGTATTACTAGAACACGTCTAAAAAGATGAAATATGAGGTAATAAAAGTTAAAATTTTGTGTTTTTATCTTAAATTGAGCACATTCTGACTGCGTTAAAACACGATTCATTCCAGAGGAGACAATTCTTATATATTTTTTAAAACAAGATCATTTTGCTTTGTCCCATTGAAGAATCTTGTCTTAAAACAGTCAAAAATGTGCTCAAATTAAGACACATTTAGCCAAATTTGAGCAGTTTTTCAATTCTTTTCCCTCACTTTTTGCAGTGTAAAGCTGCACTGTTAAAACTGTCGATCCACTTTCCTGTATTAATCCTTATATCAAACTAATAAATTATATATATACACGTAGCTTATGGCTTAAAATGTTCGGTCTTTTCCAGAACCTTTTTTGTAACTGCGTCGTCTCATCTGAGTCTAAATAATAATGAAACGTTGGGAGTGAGGCCAAAGATATGAACATTTTAAAACATAATCTATCTTTGGATTAAACCTTTGAATGAAGCCAACATCTCAGTTTTCCCTCATAAAGTATGTAACGGAATATTTTACCATATTTGGAATCGCTTCTAACAAATGTATCTTTGACTGCGAGGTTTTGACCAAATATCTATCTTTTTTGGACAAACATTGCGATTGCCTTTTGCGTTGTCCATATATTTATTTTTTACAGTGTGCAAGAAGCATTAGCCAAAAGGAGAGATGCTTTGTACAGGGTTGTTAGCAGCAATGCTAATTTACAGCTTGTTGTTGTAAAACTGTGACGACAAATGCTAAAGCTAGGGAATTATTGTTGATCTTGTGCTGTGTGCTCCTCATTCCTCAGTACTTGCGATGCAACACTGAAATTTTCCGGAGTGTGGGACACATGAGGAATCTCTTAATCTTATTATTTTGAACAATGAAATGACCCCGGCCTCACTCTTCACTTTCTCTCCACACATTCATGCACGACAGACATGCACAGAATACTTTTTCATTGTACTTTTTTTTTAGAGTAATTTCAGCCTGAAGTAGGGTTTTCTCATTTAAAATAAAGAACAAAAACATTGCTTTTTTTTAAAGAAAATTCAAGAGAGTGCATTTATACCGACATGTTTTGCTTATTTGTAAAACGTTACGCCATTTTTGGTTTTCCAAGAAGGAAATGCACAAATAATAATAATAATACATCCATCCATCCATTTTCTACCCTTTAATCCATTTCTGGGTCAGGGGGGTGGCAGTCAGAGATGCCACCCAAGTCTCATAGCACCAGCCCCTCACTGACCCTCTGCAGGTGGTGAGTCCACAGGAGGACGGCTGCTCTCTGAGTGTGAGCATAGCCTTGATCTTTCAGTGGGGGCTTTGGGCAAAGTGGGGTTAAGTGTCTTGCCCAAGGACACAACGACAGCAGTCATCAGTGGGAGTCGATGGAGAAGGTGCAGAGGTGGGAATTGAACCCACGACCTTCTGGCCTTAAGGCCAATGCTCTACCAACTGAGCTACTGTCGCCCCTGTAATAATAATACATTTAAATTATATTGCACCTTTCGCGGTTTTTTCCACAAAACTTCAACGTGATAGGGGTTAAAATACTATACAAAAAACGGAAAACAACATCGAAAGTATGTCTCATATCAAAACACATCAAAAATCTCATAAAAAATCCGGGAAAAGGTTTTTAGGGCTCAAGAATTGTAATCTTATTTTAAGCTTATTTCAGCTTCTCAGTGTGATCCATCTTGTAGCGCTCACCAAAACACACTTGTTCAAAATCGCTAACTTTAGCATGATAAAGAAGCTACTAAGCTAGTATACACTGCAAAAAATGATCAAATATAGATAATAATTGCTTGAATTGAGTTGTTTTTATCTTAATTTAAGTTCATTCTGAGTGTCTTAAAACGAGATTTGCCAATGAGCAATTTTGACTTGACTCAAGAACTATTGCTTTATTTTCTCATTCCAAGAGAGAAATGTCTTGTATCTTTTTCAAACAATATATTTTTTCTTGTTCCACTGGCAAATCTTGTTTTAAGGCAGTCAAAATGTGCTCAAATTTAGAAACATTCAGCAAAATTTGAGTATTTTTTGTCTTTAATTCCATCATTTTTTGCAGTGTAACATCCATAAATCTCTGACTTCTGGTTTAAACTTGATTAGAGGCAGAAGTTATGCAGGGGACAATATCGTTACGAGAGTGAAAGCTGAACAAAGTATATTTTAGCTGAATTGTACTGACTTTAGAACACTTTAAAACCAACGTGGCTCATCTCAACCTCATTTTTCACTATTTTTTTATGAATTTCTCCAATAAATACAGACCCAAGACAACTCGGTTCCACTTTAACATCCTGGTTTTTTGGCCGTTGACAGATTGTGAGTCTTCGATTGTGTATCCGTGTTACGCTCTGTCGATTGTCTCCTGATGTCTTTGATGTGTGACGTAACATGGACTCTTTAGAGCTTGTTCCAACTCTGTTCTGTCTGAAAACCACTGAAGGACCCTGAGAATAAACTTCCAGGTTGCTCTGGTCGTAAAGATCCCGTCTGTGAGGTTGATTTTTCCACAGACTTAAATCCTGGAGCTTGTCGTTGCAAAATCTAGATATGTTTTTGCTCTCGTCAGACAATGCAGGTTCTGAAATGCAGCTCAAGTGAATCCAGTGTTTTCTGACAACTGCAAACATATTAACGGTTTGTAAATAATCTCGCTGATCAAGAGAAAAAAACCGAGGCCAAAGCCGAGAAGCACAATTAGGTTTTTGTCACAATATTCTCCTTTTTTTTTGTGTTATTGACTGACTTTAAAGAATCGCCTTGAAAGCAGAAGCAATGACATTAAAGACAGCTTCATACTGCGAAAAGGTGATGGGGGGAAAAAATGCCCGAATTTGGCAAAATGTATCTTACTTTCAGCACCTAATTTGTCTGCCTTAAAACTAGATTTGCAAATGGAACAAAGGAAAAGTATCTAGATTTAAAAATGTCTTATTCTTTAACTTATCTCTGCATTTCCTGTGTGTGAACGGTTTGATTCTCTGATCTGCGTTGGCCAATTTGACGGTTTTGTAAAGTCCTACGAGAAAACTACTGTCGTGATGTCGGACTATACCGAAATAAATTGAGGAGAAAATACCCTATTTTTTTTCCCAAATGTAAAACCAACATGCACACTGCAAAATATGATAAATATATGAGGTAATGAGTTCTAAAATACAGGGGTTTTTGTCTTAATTTGAGTTCATTCTGACTGCCCTTAAAGCAAGATTCTCCAATGGGACAAAGTCATTTAGACGTTTCTAGTGTATTTTAAAACAAGATCATTTTGCTTTGTCCCATTGGCAAATCCTATTTTAAAACAGTCAAATTACGACACATTTTGCCAAATTTGAGCATTTTTTCTTTTATTTTTCATCATTTTTGCAGTGCATTTATCTCCTGCAAAACAAAACAATACAAATGCATACTCACTATTTTTACTCCAATGTCAAAAATCCTTGCTTATATCAAAAAACACAAATATTCCAATGTCATCTTCTATTAGCAAATATTCTGTCTCTTCTATTAGCAGCGCTTAAGCTAACTGACCCGGCGAACTGCTAATCGCTATCTGCGTACAGTGCACTTTGGTGGGGTTAGAAAAAGGTCTGAAAATCCCCAGCTTTAAGCCTATTATTATTTACATGCTGTGTGTAATGGTCGCGTCCCCCCCCCCCCCTCTCTCTCTTATACCTGTGTGTTATTAAAGCTATCGCCCGGGGGGGGGGGGGATGGGGGTGACACCGGGCCACGAAAAAGGAAGCGACAAGGGAGACAGAGCGCCACGTCAGGGGTCCAAACGGAGCCCGCCGTCCCACTGTGATTCCCACGGCCAGGGCTCGGCCGAGGGAGCGAGGAGAGGGCAGGGGACAAAGCACAGCCCTGGGGAGAGATATAGATGCCAGTGTCCATGACCTGGAAGGATGTCTGAGTGTGTTAGCTTTAGCCTAGCTGGAGAGACTAGCTCAGAGCTCAAGGGTGTTCAATCAGGCTATGTAGAATCATCTTTCCAGAGTTATAGACATGATGCATTTGACGGGGAACAACAACAACCAATTCTTAAATGCATCGGGAAAAGTATTTTTGAAGAATTGAGTGGTTGAAGCAAGAAATTATGAAAAATAAGTCAAAAATTGCTCAAATTTGGCAATGTGTGTCTTCATCTCAGCACATTTAGACTGAGCCTTAAAACAAGATTTACCAATGGGACAAAGCAAAATGATCTTGGTTTTAAAAGATACAAGAAATGTGTCGCTTGGAATGAGAACCTACAGCAACTGACCTTGAAATAAGACTAAATGGCTTTGTGTAGTTCGAAAATCTTTGTTTTTTGTCAGACTTTACTCAGATTACAATTCAATCAATTATTAACTCACATTTTATGTTTATTTGCAGTGAATGTGTGGACTATATTAACATTTATGGACATTGGTCTCTGCTCCTTGGACCAATGGCTCTATGTGTTTCAAGGCAAGGCAAGTTTATTTATATAGCACAATTCATACACAAGGCAACTCAAAGTGCTGAACAAAACAAGAAAGCATTAAAATCATAAATAATCACAGAACATTAAGAAGAAAGATAAAAATATAAAATCCCTCAGTTGTATGCACAGCTAAAACAGAACTGTCTTTAACCTGGGTTTAAACATTGTCAGAGAGGAGGCCTGTCTCACATCTTCAGGAAGACTGTTCCAGATTTTAGCAGCATGAATCTGAAAAGCAGCCTCCCCATGTTTAGTTCTGACTCTGGGCACTAACAGGAGTCCAGTCCCTGTGCTCCTCAGAGTCCGGGCTGGTTCATATGGGACTAACATGTCACTAATATATTTTGGTGCGAGGCTATGGAGAGACTTGTACACAAGCAGAGCTGTTTTAAAGTCTATTCTCTGAGCCACAGGAAGCCAGTGCAGAGACCTGAGGACTGGACTAATGTGGTCGTACTTCCTGGTTCTAGTCAGGACTCGAGCTGCTGCATTTTGAATGTACTGCAGCTGTTTTACAGCCTGTTTGGACAGACCTGTGAGCAGGCCATTGCAGTAGTCTAACCTACTGGAGACAAATGCATGGATAAGAATCTCCAGGTCTGCTTTAGACACTATGTTTTTGATCCTGGCAATGTTTTTTAGATGGTAAAAAGCTGCTGATGTTACTGATTTGATGTGGCTATTAAAATTTAAGTCTGAGTCCAGTATTACCCCTAGATTTCTGACCTTGTTTGAAGGTTTTAGGGAGAGAGACTGTAGGTGACAGATGATGCTCTCTCTTTGTTTCTGGGGACCAAAGACAATCATTTCAGTTTTGTCTGCGTTTAGCTGAAGGAAGTTGTTTTGCACTGGTTTCCTTATCGTTACATTTCTTGTGTTTGAACTGGCAAATCTTGAGAATGTGCTCAAATTAAGACACATTTTTCTAGATTTGAGCATGTTCTGGCCTTTTTTTCATCACTTTTTGCAGTGCAAGTTCAGTAGATTTACGATTGATTGGCGAACATTCGAAATTCAGGATTTTGACAATCTTGAGTAGATAAAAATGAAATGCAATCATTATTTACTGCAGGAAATACATATATACATGTACGGGTACCAAGTGGGCTATCCACCATGGAGGCCTGCGAGCTCTGGTTTGCTTCTGGTGTGTGTATAAGTCCATTGTGTAAGACTTGTGGCAGCCTGTGACCTCTCTCTTTGTAAAGGATTTTGGAAATGACCGATGATGATATAAGAGAGACGAGAGACTTCTTTGTCAGAAATACGTATTTGTTGGTGATTAACATTGGGAGACAAGAGCCACAGAGGCCAAGTGGAAATAAACAAAAAAAAACAATTCTTTGTACTTTGAGAACTCTTCACTTTGGGTTTTCAGCTGAGATGAGTTCAGTTTTTCATGAAGGTATCTGTCCAATGAAAAATCACAGCAACAATGAATGCATTCTTGTGCCAGTTCACAGCTAGTTCAAGTTCAGTTCATACGTGCTCAAAGTGAACAGTTCACTTTCAAAGTTCCAACGGTTCCAAGCTCTAAAACGAGGTACAGCATGACTATATTGGTTGAGCTGAAGTTGGCTGGATAATGCTGTGAAAGTGCTTTGTGTTAGCAGCAGTGAGCCATATAAAATGAGGGCCACATTTGGCTTGTGGGCATTAGTTTGGACACCCCTGACTTATATCAATAACATAACACATACACTGCAAAAAATAGAATATTAATTTTGCCTTCATTTTGTTTTAAGGCCGTGAGAATGTGCTCAAATTAAGATATATTATTACTTATTTTTCATCTTTTTTTGCAGTGTAGAGCAGGTACAAATGTGTGGGAAGCCAAGTCACTGTATATCAAATGTCCCTTATTTTAGTAGCTTGTGTGGCATTTCTGGTACTTTGGCGCCTAAAGGGTTAAGTGGTCTAAAGTCCATACAAAATTGACATTCTTGAGCTGTAACTAATGTTTCCTCAATAACCTATGACAGAAGTTAATTTCAAATCAGATTATAGAGATTTAAAGATCTTATACTTGCTTTTTCATTATGCCAATTCCTGCTGCTTTGTTACTGGTGCTGCAACACTGACATTTCCCCGCTGTGGGACCAGTAAAAGATCAAATCATTCTGGATGTCGAATCAACCAATCTCACACCACATGCAAATACAGTATCATATACAGTAACTATAATCTAATGCAAACTATTGTGATTCTGTACTTTCTGTTTTCATTCAAACCGTCGATAAAACACATTTTTCTGTCACTTCTGTAGACGCCGCTCCTCGGACCTGACTGCGACGTCTTTCACTAAATCAAAAAGCGAATCAACGCACGGTCAAGCTTTCTGTTGGAACACGGTAAGATAAAATGACATCTCGGTTTGTTTTGTGCTGGTGGTTTTCTATTTCTCTGACTTGACTTTTTGGTAAACGTCAGAATTTTAATGTTTCTCAATGGTTTGTTTGCGTCTGGGAGTGAAGAGGAAACATTTCAGTGGCAAAGTGGCTTCGTTTGTTCAATGAATTAAGATAAAAAGCTGCTGATGTTTTTATTGAAGGCTTTTTTAGACGCCCACGACGCACATAAAGCTCACACATTAGACAAGACCACAACAATTACTGTGAGATCAGAGACACAGAGGTGACAAAGACACACACGCAGATGTGTAAGAGTGGATCCATGAGAGAGAGGACTTTGAATCAACAAAAATAAGTGTTACGTTTTTTTTAAAGAAAGTTTCGCTTCCCAACTCGCCCCCATGAAGAGGCTGAGTTTTAATAGTAATTGTGAATTTACTGCTGCAACAACACATCATCAGTCGGGTAAAAGTCGACTTGAGAGAGAGACAGGCCCGGACTGGTCATCAGGAGCATCGGGAGATCTCCCGGTGGCCTGCGTGTCAAAGTGGCCTGGGCCTGCCCTATCATCACGGTCTTTGCAAACTCCTACCCTGCCTGGTGGCCTGGTCCAATGAGCAAGGCCCAGGCCAAAGCTTTACTGTCATTGGGCCAGAGCAAAATTAAACAAATGTGACGTCACACGTCGGCTACACAGCCAGGCCAGCCTAGCAGTGCACCCAGTGTAGCTTCCCCGGTTGAAATGAGTGGTCTCTCCAACTGATGGTTCATACACGTTTTTATTTTTCCTTTTATATGAGCTGTAACGATGTGATTTTACCTTACTACTTTTTTAACAATAATTGATTAGCTTGTTATAGTTATACACTAATGAACACTTAGTTCATTGTGTGTGTGTGTGTGTGTGTCTTTATTCTCACTAAACTCCATAAACGTTACGTTGCTAAGCAACGTACAACAATCCTTAAACGTCCGAGATTATATAAACAGTCAATATAAAAAACAAAAATAAAAAAAAAGTTTTGACAGTCAATCTTAAAACTATTAAAAGAACATCAAAATACAATGACAAAAACACAAATTTAGAACCTTGTTCCCTATCAACCTGGCGCTAGAGTTCACCGTAAGCAACCTTCATTTTCCGTTTGAACAGTAGCTTACAGAACGTCCTTTTAGTGTAGCGCTCGCGCTGCTGCGGTTACTTTTGTAACAGTTCTAACGTTTAAACGTTAAAAACATTTTTAGCTGAATCACCACACAGAAGAAATAGTAACAAGGTAATTTACACCCAGTAGCCTATGCTATCATGGAGTCGAAAAAAAAGAGGAAAGGTGGCGCAGAAAGGGAGAAAATGAGAAAAAAGAAGGCGCTGGACGAGGATGCGGCAAAGTATTATAAACTCACAGATATGTTTTCAAGAAGCGAGTTGTCAGGTAGGCTACTATATGCACAGGAGCAAAATTAACACACAAAGGTATCCCGATTATGCTCTCTCTATTACGTGACGGCTGCTTTGATACGCGGTTCTATTGCTCAAGTTTGGCGTATGTGTTTGTGGTGGTTTGAAGGTGAGACCAGTGCGGCGGCTGCTGCTACAGAGGGACACCCACAATCGAGTGAAGGCAAATGGGCTTCAGGTATTTAGAAACAATCAAACTACCTGTAAAATGTTCCAAATTGGTTGTGAGAGGACATTCTCCATTCTTAAGTTTGTGAAAAACAGATTAAGGACCTCTCTCAGTCAAGAGCATCTTGAAGCATTTTTGCTTATGTCAGCAGAGAAAGAGATTCTCATGGAGCTTGACAGTGATGACATTATTGATAAAGTTGCAGAAACAACTAAACTCATGCAACGCCTGCTGACTTACTAGGATAGTGTGTATTGCACAACTTTTATTTTATTCATTTTATTTAGCTTCAAATGCAAGTCTTCATTATTGCTATGCTGCCCGTGCACTGCTCTGCTAAGATTTTGCTTGCATGGGGTCCCAAAAACTTTTCGGAAATAAGGGAAACATTTGCGTGTTTACATGACTGAAATGAATGAATGAGAATGAATAACTTAAAGCTTTGTTAT